AAAAAAAAAAAAAAAGGTAAAAAGTTTATGCTGTGAAAAGTAAGTCTCTTTCCTGTCCCTTTTCTACTCAGTTATCTTTTCTAGGGACTGTTATCAGGGTCTTAAGTATCCTTCCAGATAGATAAGCCTGTGTGTTGAATGTGTATTTTAAAATTCTGAATCTTTCTATAAAAAAAGGTGCTTTTTATTTTTGAGGAAAAAACACTGTAAAAACTACTTCAAATTGAGTCATCTAGTTCATATAGCTGAGTGAATGAATCTAATGTGTTGCCCCAAATTGTTTACTTCTCTGGATCCAGAGGGCTAGACATAGCTTGATAGAAGAGAATAAAACTAGATTAAAGGAAAAAAGGCAAAATGGAGTGCTATAATAATATTTCCTCTGTCTCAAAAATGAATGTGAATTTTGATCTCCTCCAGATGTGGTAGTTAAGAGTAGAAATGTCTGTTAAGATTTCATTTAAATCCAGGGACACCTGGATGGCTCAGTCTGTTGAGCGTCCAGCTCTTGATTTGGGTTCAGGTCATGATCTCATGGTCATGAGTTCGAGCTCCACATCAGGCTTTGCGTTGACAGCACAGAGCCTGCTTGGGATTCTTTCTCTCTTTCTCTCTGCCCCTTTCCCTGCTGGTTCTCTTGCTGTCTCTCAAAATAAATAAAGAAAACTTAAAAAAAAAAAAAGATTTCATTTAAATCCAATGAGCAGTTATTAAGCATGTCTTACTGCTAAGCAATGTGTTAGGTTCTACAGGAAATAGAAAAATGAGTAAGACAGGGTCTTTATTTTTAAGGACCTTACAATTGTGGAGGTATATAATTGTATAGTAGAGGGTATAAGGCAAGCATATAAATTATTACTAATGTCAGTAGGGATGTGATAAATGAAATAAGAAAGATAGTAACAAAATACTTTCCAATTTTCAGCTGATTAAAAGTCTCAGTAAATATTTGATGAAAGAGCTCGTGTGTAAGATGGATCGTAAAGTGTGGACGGGATATCAGCAGAGCAATAGGAAGAAAAAGCATTCTAACCAGAGGGAACAGTATGGAAGAGTTGTGCAATTTAGGAAATAGTGAATAGAATTCAGGGGAGAAGTTGGCTAAAAAGAAGTATGTCAAATTAAAGAGGACTTTGAGTGTGAGGAATTTATATTAAATTCACTGGGACAGTGTTTCTCAAAGCACAAGATGGGTATCAGTTTAGGAAAGGATTTTAGGGGATACAGCATTTCATAGCATTAAGTAACGTGAATTATGTTACATAGTAAAATGTTGTATCCTTTTCAGTTGTTTTTAATTTTCTGATTATTTCAAGCAGAAAATCTTGATTTAATGCTAGTATGTTTTTATTACTTGCTATTACATGTGACTCTCCCTTCTTTTAATAGGCCCACCTATTTTTTATGTTTTCGTTTCTTTATAAGGCAAAGAATGTTTCTTTACATTTAGAGTAGTGGTATAAAATTACCTTTCAAATACGTTTATTTAGCAAAAAACATGAGTCAATTTTAAACAAAAATATAAGTAAGTAACAGTTATTTATATAAATAAAAAACTTTGGCAGTGGTTACACCTGAAACCAACAAAACATTGTGTGTCAACTATACTTCAACAAAACAAGAAAAACAAAAGAACTTTGACGATATTATAGAAGGTTCCTTAAATAATAAGGGTAATCATCTATTTCATGGACTTCCATGTTAAAGATCTCTCCCTCCATGATTCCATGAAATATGTATTATAATTTCTGAATTGAAATTATAGATGGGAACCAAGGGGGAAGCAGTGGGTAGAGGATATAATACTTATTGGCAGAGTTTGTAAAGGTCTACAGCACTGCATCCAATAGACCTCTCTGTGATGATGTCTGTTGAACACTTGAAATGGGGCCAGTGTGCCTGAGGAACTGAATTTAATTTTAACTAAATATAAACTTAGGTAACTACATGTGGCCACTGGCAACTGTGTTGGATAATACAACTCTCTTAGTTGCTTTTGAGAGAGGAAGAAAGGAGGGTAAAAGAAAAGGGGAACCTTAGAATCTCAGACTTATGATCTTACAGATCAGAGGGGTTTTAAGAGATCTAACCTAGTCTAGTGTGAAGAAAGTAAGGTGGTCTTATCCCCATTATATAGGCCGTCTACTTTCTTCCTCTCCTCCTCCTCCTTCTCCTCCTCTCCTGTCCTCCTTTCTCCCCCCTCCCCTTTCTTTTTTGAGTCATTTAGATTTTTTTGGCCTAATCTCTAGGAATACTCAGATTTTGGGGTGCCTGGGTAGCTCAGTCGAGGTCGAAGCATCTGACTTCAGCTCAGGTCATGATGTCATGGTTCCTGGGTTCGAGCTCCACGTCGGGCTCTGTGCTGATAGCTCAGAGCCTGGAGCCTGCTTCAGATTCTGTGTCTCCCTCTCTTTCCGCGCCTCCCCAGCTCATGCTCTCTCTCTCTCTCTCTCTCTCTCTCTCTCTCTCAAAAAATGCATACACATTAAAAAAAAAAGGAATACTCAGATTCTGACAAATTTGTAGGAAAATAAGTATTAACAATGCTTTTTAGCATCCATTATTTAACTATGTTAGTTATTACGAGTATACTATACCCTCTGGGGCCTGAATGACAGTCTAGTGGTTAAGCATAAATCTCTAAAACTCTTACTCTTTCACTTAAGAAAACACAGCAGAGGGGCACCTGGGTGGCTCAGTCGGTTAAGCATCCGACTTCAGCTTAGGCCATGATCTCATGGTTTGTGAGTTTGAGCCCTGCACTGGGCTCTCTGCTGTCAATACAGAGCCCTCTTTGGATCCTCTTTCCTCCTCTCTCTCTCTCTCTGCCCCTCCCACGTGTGTGCTCTCTCTCTCTCTCTCTCAAATATCAATGAACATTAAAAAAAAAAAAACAAAAAAACCATAGCAGAATATAAGATACATTACTAGAGGGATAATCTGGAATTTTTTTTAAGTTTATTTATTTATTTTGATAGAGAGAGCATGTGTGCGCTCACGAGTGGGGCAGGGGCAGAGAGCAAAGGAGAGAGAGAGAATCTCAAGCAGGCTCAGCACTGCTTGAGGCTTGAACCCAGGAACCCGTGAGATCATGACCTGAGCAGAAGTCGAATGCTTAACTGACTGAGCCATCCACGTGCCCCATCTCCCTGTTGTTTAAGTTATTCCCCTATCTTTCTATTTCTGTTTTATATTTTATATGTTCTGGAGTGCTTGTTGTTTAAGAGCCACCATTTCAGTTTCAGGCTTTTTTTTCTCTAAAAAAATTTAGCAGAGTGTGGCTAAATTGATGGTCTCTTTCTCTCTCAAGCTAGTGGTTTAAAATACCTTAACTGGGAAATAGAAAGGAAATTGTAGACAACCAATCAACAGTGTAGGAAATGAGAAAGGGGTAGTGTCCTAAAAAGAGGAAGTGGGGCAAGTACTGAAATTTACCCTTCCCCCTTATTTGTTTACTTACTTATTTTGTAATCTTTATTTTTGGTGGCAGGGAGGGGCATCAGATCTAACATGTCTTCTCCAGTAGAGGAATAGCCTTATTTCATCAGAGATGTTTAAGAGCTACATGTTTTATACTTCACTGATTTCCACCTTGGAAGTAGCCAATGTATAATAGGCACTTAGTAAGTAGTTATTTAGGAGTGTATTGTTACCTTCCCAGGAAGTAAGAACAAACCAGTGAGTAAATTATAGTGCTTCCTGTCGGATTCTGCCACGTTTAGTGTCTATATGCTGCAGGTTAAGTTATGCCCCTATCTCTCTGGCTTATTTATTTTATATATTCTGAATAACTCATTGCTTAAAAGTGGTCATTTCAATGGGTGCCTGGGTGGCTCAGTTTGTTAAGTGTCTAACTCTCGATTTGGCTCAGGTCATGATCTCATGGTTCTTGAGATTGAGACCCCGTGTAGGGCTCTGCTGACAGCGCAGAGCCTACTTGGGATTCTCTCTTCCTCTTTTGTGCCCCCTCCCACTTGTGCATGCTCTCTCTCTGTCTCTAAATAAACATTTTTAAAAAGTTGTCATTTTAGGACTTTTTTTATAAATT